TGTTGTTGTTTGTTGTTGTTGTTGTTGTTGTTGTTGTTGTTGTTGTTGTTGTTGTTGTTGTTGTTGTTGTTGTTGTTGTTGTTGTTGTTGTTGTTGTTGTTGTTGTTGTTGTTGTTGTTGTTGTTGTTGTTGTTGTTGTTGGTGTTGTTGTTGTTGTTGTTGTTGTTGTTGTTGGTGTTGTTGTTGTTGTTGTTGTTGTTGTTGTTGTTGTTGTTGTTGTTGTTGTTGTTGTTGTTGTTGTTGTTGTTGTTGTTGTTGTTGTTGTTGTTGTTGTTGTTGTTGTTGTTGTTGTTGTTGTTGTTGTTGTTGTTGTTGTTGCCATTGCTACTGTTGCTGCTGTTGTCGTTGTCGTTGTTGTTTTTGCCAATGTTGCTTTTATTTTCAACTAAGTTGGATACTATGGTTTTCAGCTAAGTGCAAATACGACACGCAAAACATGATCCATGCTAAAGTTACGAGGGTTAAAAACGAGGGTCCGTGGCCTTGCCCCCGTTTCTCCCGACAGTTACTTTATACATTACCTGTGAGAACTCCGGTTGGGCATTGGTACAGTAATTCGTGTTCGTACCAATTTAGCCAACTTGACCAAAAACAGATGCTTGTAATTTTCGAGTCAGATCTGCAGTAGAAAGCCCATGCGCGGTCTTTATGACCACTACTGTAATAGCTTATTATACGAGACATACCAGAACCTACAGAATAATTTACTTGAAGTGAGAGGAAAACAACTGATATGAAATCACATAGTATTTCAATGTATTTTTAAGATTGTACTCATTTCAGTTCAATGCAAACTTTTTCTAATTTATCATCTAATTTTTTTTCCAAATTTAACCAAACCGTGTTCAGGGACGCCGGAACTGGGGGGGGCAGGAGGGGCAGCTGCACCTCTTGCCTTTCGCTAGCAGGGGCAAGGGGGGCAGAAGTGCCCTTTGAGTTATAAAATACTACCTGATAAATCACATTTCCAGTGATGCTTTCTGGGCAAAATCATGATGTGTGATCTTGAATGTGACCTGGTTAAGTGTGTTTGCTTTCATATATTGGAAAGTCGACACATAATTGTAGATTTATTTCTTCACCGTTGTCTATAGAGTTGCCCTTTGGTGTGCGTTTGCCCCCCTTGCCTTTTTATCGTTCCGGCGTCCCTGACCGTGTTTATGAAATCATGGTGTGTTCAGTCTTGATAGTGCGTACGTTACGCTTTTGCATTTTGTTAGTAGCGTCTCTAAATAAATGGCAATTTGTCCAAAGTCTCACAAATTTCGTATTTTAAGAGGAGGATCTTTTGTATATTACATTAAACGTGCTAAAAACTAATGAATATGCTTTAATTTCCACTTGGTTAATATGACTGATATTCATTCCTTTACATTTTCGACACGTTTCTCAAGCGGCAAACAAACTTGATAAGTATGTTTAGTGCTTTAACTGTAAATTACGCTAAAATGAAGAGATTTAGATGGTACGCCAAAGAGAAAAGAATGTCTATACAGGGTGTATCAAAATAAACGCAATTCATCTTTTGTGCTTAATAACTTTCGAAATACTATTTCTAGTTAAACGCTTTTAGGCTTACTTCAA